AACACTCTGCAGGACACACAACACAGTGACTGACAAACTGTCAATATAGGCAGGACAGTCTTGCAAATTCCTGCTTCATTTGAAAAGTTTGCCAGATACTGTGAACCTATAGGCTGAGGATGGATTCCTCAACGATGCAGAGGATCTTTGGGTGACTGTCCTGGCATTCAGATGTCTGTCAGTTCTAGAGTTTGGAAGTCATTTGCAATGCACTTTTTGTTTACTTACACAATATATCCTTCTGGTGGATTTGCTGGAGTTGAAGACTAGATAGTTATAGATGTGGTTTACCTTAGATATGATAGAAAGTTAGATATAAAACTTTGGATTCCATAAAGCATTATTTTATCTGAATATGCTAACTACAAATGGACAGAATATTGTAAATTAATTCTTACTTGATAACTTCTTGTTGTACATAGTTAGTTGCACTATGTTAAAGTTAAAACCTTTCTATTGAGATAAAAAAGGGAAATGTGGTAGAATACTATTTTTAGGCGTGTGACTTTTGTTTATGTTGCTTTTTGTTTAACTCTGTGAAGCTGTGATTCTTCGTTTGTCTAAAACACCTGATGGTCTAATTAAAGAAATGAAGGGCCAGTCGTGGGGCTGGCAGGCAGGGAGGATAAATAGGAGGAGCAAGAGATGGAGAGGAAGATGTCAGGGGCCAGCCACCCAGCAATCCATGGGGTAAGAATAAGACCTACAGAAGAGAACAGAAAAAGCCCAGAGGCAAAAGGTAGATGGGCTAACTTAAGGTAAGAAAAGCTGGCTAGAAACAAGCCAAGCTAAGGCCAGACATTCATAAGCAAAAATAAGCCTCTGTGTCTGAGTCATATGGGAGCTGGGTATTGAGACCCCCAAAAGAGAAAAAGCATCTTATTACAACTTTACTCTAAAAGCTGTACTCACAGCGGGGGCCCCCCACCCCATCGATGCCTTGGAGCCATTACCTCCTTCGGCACAGTAAGGCAGTTCACTAATTCAGCAGTGTCCAAATGTGAACCCAAGTCACTTGCTGCCAGGCTCTCTAGTCCCTTGAGAACTGCCTGTGACCGGGGACTGCATCATCTTAGACTCTGGAGGGGCAGAGTGGAGGTAAACCTAGTTTGTCAGAGGTACACTGGGAATATCCTAAGGCCAGTTGGGAAACATGGTTAGAAAAAAAAAAAAAAAATCAAACCCAAATGAGCCAGGGTTAAGGAAGACATTTAGGCCTGAGCTAGAGCATTCTAAATATTTCAGTGATGCCTAGCGTGTACCTGCTGTTACTGATCTGTTTTTCCAGGCTGGTTCCTGCTCAGGGAGGACAGTTATGATCTACCCTAAGGATTGAATTGACCCTGACAACTTGCAGAATGGGAACTGGACCAAGCAAACATAACTTGGATTGGAGTATGGATTCTTTAACCCCAGAGTGGGGATTACTTTTCACCTTAAATCTCATTTTTCTGATGAAGAAACTGGAGGACCAGTCTCGTCCACAGAGTTGGAAGGCTCATCAAGCAGGGGCCTCATAAACAGAAAGCACCAAAGATAGAGGCCACAGGGCAAGCCATGCTGGAGAGAAAGAAGCTGCTGCCCTCACTGGTGGCTGCTGGTGAAGGATGGAGCATGGCTGCTCTAGCTTCCCAAAGATCCTCACAAGCATCTCAGCAAAAGAAACTTAGATAAAAACAAACAAACAAACAAACACCAACAAAAATACCAAACTTCAAACTTGTAGATGTTTTTTTTTTTAAATTTCTCTGAAATTTCATAGAAAATAAACAGGGAGTGAACTTCCTCGGAGAATCAGTGACAAACCTTTAACCCTGGCTAAAGATTAACAATGGTGATCATATTATTAAATGGGAAAGCAGGTTAAAACTGCTGCTCTTTGGGGAAGTTAAGCAAAGGTCCAGGGCTGGGGACATAGCTCAATGGCTGAGCACTTGCCTGGCTCCATTCCCAGCACGGGAGATGGAGGTGGGGCTTACTGTTCAGTTGGCTCCTTTGGGGCCTGGCAGGTGTGAAATAGCCTAATAGAGCTGCTGTGGTCCATGGTTTGGGGTTCCTCAGGTTCAGGCATGGGGCTGTCCATGCAGCATCAGACTGCTAAATCCTCATGGCCTCCTGAGATATCTTCCCATGTTCAAGGGGACAGCCTGGACAGTTCCGTCCTTACCACAGTTTTGGGTGCAATGGACAATCATGCTAAATCAATAGCAACTATTTACTAATTTCTGTTTGGTCTTTAGCCAGTCACCTGCCCCACAGTGGCCCTTTCTTATGGTCATGGTCATTCAGGAGATTAAACCATAGGTAAGAAAGTTAGATTTTTTTGTGAAAAGAATTACTAGTTCAAAGAGTATGGTGAGATGACACACTGGTTAAGAGCACTTACTGTTCTTCCAGAGGACCTGGGTTCAATTCTCAGCACCCACCCACATCAGAGGGATCATAGCTGACTGCAGGTTACACATACTCTCATGCAGCCACAGACACACATACATAAAATAAATAATACCTTTTAATAAGAGCATGCCCAGTTGAAATGGATTCGCTCTGCAAACTCCTCACTTTTCAAGGATGGTGCTGGATACAGATGTGGGTGGGCCCTGCTTCTCTGCCCCCACCCCCTCTGCAAATCCATATATTAGCACTCAGGTGACAAGACAACCTTGTCTATGTTCCAGTCCCCAAGATCAACTCTGAGCCTGGGCTGTTTAAGCAGACACCCAGAATAGCGTGAAATCATATCCAATTAAAAAAAAAAAATATTGATTTCAACTAGAGATGGTGGCACTACACAATTAAAAGAATATTTTAGACATATTCAGCCAAATGATTTACCACTCAGAAAGAATCAACTTGGGGTTGGGAGTGAGTTTAACTCAGTGGTGGAGTGCTTGTTTAGCAAGGACAAGGCCCTGGATTTGGTCCTCCGCCCTGGGAGGGGAAGGGGTCAATTCACAGATTATATATACCAAAGTCTGAAGTGGTAACAAATTAATAGTATCAACTAAACAATAAATTTGAACTTTGTACATGAAGTACCTGGGCACACACATTCACACTCTTTAAGTGATATACAAACTTCATACACTGGTAAGATTCCTAACAATGAATTTTTACTTTCTAATGAATAGTTACAAAAAAAGAACAAAGCATACTGTTATGGACTTCTTACCTTGACCTCCAAACCCTATCCACAGCTAAAGGCACCTTGTTCACACAGCTGAAGCTGCCATTTCTGCAGAGATAGTCAGATACTTTGTTTCATTCTCAGGCATCAGAAAGCAACAATCACAAGGTACTGGCTGGAAAGATAGCCAAGTCATCAACACTTGCTATGCTTTCAGAAGCCATGGGTTTGGTTCCTATCTTGCACACCTGGCAGTTTGCAAAGGTGGGCAACTCCAATTCCAGGGGATCCAATGCTGTCTTTTGGTCTCTGAGAGCACTTACACACGTGAACTACTCTCTCTCTCTCTCTCTCTCTCTCTTTCTCTCTCTCTCTCTCTCTCTCTCTCACACACACACACACACACACACACACACACACACACACACACACACACACAGCTTTATGACTCATTATGGCCTGGCTATCTTCACAGCTTTCTTTGCAAGAAGTTAGGAGGGACAAGGGGAATGTTCCCTCTTAGCTTGCAACGTTTGTTGCATATTATGGGGCTTTTCTCCAAACTTTTCAGAAAGCTAAATGCACTCTCTACAGTTTGAAGACCTTTGGCTGCACTCCACACCTAACCTTTGAATACACAGATGAAGCAATTCCTTATCAGAGCTGGGTGGGAACTGACAAACTCTCTCAAGCGCTGTCATTTCTGCCAGTACGGTGGACTGCAGTCCTGAAGGAAAGGAAGGGGCATCTGAGTTCCTAGGACTTCCTGTGAAACTTCCATCTGTCCTCCAAACAGCTCTCAAGCCTGTGTCCTACATTGTAGGAGCCACAAAGTCCCCTTGTTTACCTGTGCAGGTCCCCTCCTCCTGCCTCTGCCTGGAAAAAGGACAGAGATAAACATCTAGGCAGTGGTTCTCAGCTCTCTTAATGCTCTGACCTTTTCACACAGTTTATATGGTGATCCCCCCAACCATAAAATTACTTCACCCCCACTTCATAACTGTAATCTTGCTGTTATGAATCATAAATAGCCCCTTGTGCGACCCACAGGTTGAGAACCACTGATTAAATGCATTCAAAATGGGTGCAGCAAAAGAGGAATCGGGAGTCTGAGAAAAGTATAAAGGGCCCAGCAGAGCTGGGCTTTGCCATGAGGTCTCTCAAGCAATCTTCACTGAGAGCATAGTGGTGAAAGCAATATATATCCTCGGATTGCCTTGCTCTCCCCCATGGACAGCTGTGACACTTTAGGCGGGTTACTCAACTCCTGAGCCTCAATTTTCAAATCTGGATTATGGAGAGAATATCAAGGACTTTGGCAGCACTGGATAAACTAACTCAAAAGTCAGATCTAATCCAGCAGGCACAGACTTTAACGTGATCATAGTCATTTTGGGGCTGTAGGATCTGCGATGCTCTGTAATATGATGTAGGGGCTGAGGGTGCAGGTCTACCTGGGGCACTTCGGACCCCCGAAGAGATTATGAGCCGGACGGCGGCCACCAGGTGGTCTCCTCGCCGACCTCCGGGTCCCAGCTTCTAGGAGCCACCTGGTCACCTGGCAATTGAGCGCGTCCATCCTCGTGGAGACCATTCCCCCGGCAGCCATCTTGGCTGCGTGCACCCAGCAAGTTTCGTCACGCGGTGGTTAGGGACGCGTGGCAGGATGCGTAATGCCCCCTCCCACCGGGGGAGCGAGATCAGCTCCACGCGGGGCCCTCCCTAGCCCCTGGCGGGATCTGAGAACCCACGAGGTCTCCGGGCGCAGGCACCCATCCCAGGTATCCCCAGCGGGCACAGCGCACCCCGCTGGGTCCTCCGCGGAACCCGAGACCGAACCAGCCCGCGCGCCCCGCAGCCCTGAGCCACTCACCGCCTCCCTGGCCGCTACCCGCACTGCTCGGTCCCGCTCGGCGCCACCTCCCGCTGCCGGAAGCGCCGCTGTCCCGCGCGCCGCCCCCAGGAGCGCGGCCCTGATGCGCACTCACGACGCGCGGCCCCGCCCAGAGGCTCCTGCCTCTGCCTCCGCGTCACTCGCTGCTTCGGCAGGGAGCTCCGCGGTCTGTGCACGCCCCTGGTGCCCGCCCTTCTGCTTCTGGCCCTACTAGGAACGCCCAAGTTCATCCTCGCCGCGCTATGCGGCCAGGGTCACTACCACTGTAGTTCAGTTTGGTTTCCCTTTGGAGACCACTCTTCATCATTGCTTTATCCACTTTATCCAGCTCCCCGCTCCTCCATTCATTTGGATAGTGTTTCTTAACATGTGGCGTTTGGCCCAACCGTCCTTGTAAGGAAACTTAGATGATACACGTGCAGCCACCACCACATTTATACCTTCAAAAGAGTCACTGGCTGCTGGAATGAGACCCGACCATAGGAGGCATGGCCTTTTCCACTGAGCTTAGCCAGAAGGAAATGTCGGTGGCAGACCACCTGGGACGAGGTGTAAGGATGTGTTGAATCCTGGATGCATTTTGAAGGCCAGCACAATCTGGAAAATGACAATTACATTACGTGCATAGGCAGAACTAACTCTCTCTCTCTCTCTCTCTCTCTCTCTCTCTCTCTCTCTCTCTGTGTGTGTGTGTGTGTGTGTGTGTTTCTAACCCAGCAAGGTGACTGTTAAGTGTATATGAGAAAATAAAGAGCCTGAAACAGCCAAACCATTTTGAAGGAGTGGATTGTCCTCCAGTTACAAAATTTGGCACAGAGCAATGGGAAAGAAGGGAGGAAGTGTGTTTGCACCAGGACCAACAAGGAGCTCCATTCAGCCAAACAGACATGCCAGACCCTGTGGAAAGAAGGTCACCATGGAGAGATGGGAAAGAGATCACACTGCTGGCAGGAGCTTCTGCTTGCAAGGCTTGTCCAGAAGCCCCTGCTACCACTGTAAAGAAAAGCAGTGTTCCTTGTGAATGTGGCGAGGGATGATGTGACAAAGTCCACCGATCAAGTTAGCTACCAGTGGGCATTAAAGAGCTGTTACCTCCGAGCCTGCTGAAAGTCATGTGACCCACCTCTTCAAGCTCTCGCTGCCTTGACTTCCCCAGTGTGATGGTCGGTGCTTTCGAACTGTGTCCTAATATAAACCCTTTCTCCCCTGGGTTGCTTTTGTCAGAATGTTTATCACAACAACAGAAAAAGAAACCAAGATAGTTCCCACATTAAAATCTGGTCTATGTCAAGAAGATAGTTTGTCTGTTACTACATGGCTGACTGTACCGCACTCATTCAAATGTCCCTTCCTACTTAGTACTGGTTTGTGTGAATTCTTTTACTGCCCACCAATCCCCCGCCATAAGATGTGGCTCTTCAACATACTGTGTCACAAGGCAGGTGGAAAAGAGCAGGTACGTATTTACTCAACATTCCGTGATCAATGGAATTTCTGCCTTAGACAACATAGAACTTACTCAATCGCAGGCAAATTCATAATCCAAAATGGAAAATAGAACTCTGAGCAATATTTCACAGACATTTGGAATGATATTCATTATTTTCAGAACTCCTGTCTATCCTTAATCTGATTATAAGATGGCCTAGAAACAGGATTGAGAAGGAAGCAAAGATTCAGTGTCCTGACTGGTTTTGTGTCAAGTTGACACAAGCTACAGTCATCAAAGGTAGCCTCAGTTGAGAAAATACCCCTATAAGATCAGGCTGTAGGCAAGCCTGTGGAACACATTCTTAGTGACTGATGTGGGAGGGCACCACCCACTGTGGGTGGTACCGCCCCTGGGCCTGTGGTCCTGGGTTCTATAAGAAAGCAGGCTGAGTAAGCCATGAAGAGGAAGCCAGTAAATGCAGCCCCTCCATGGCCTCTGCTTCAGCCCTGCCTCCAGGTTCCTGCCTTCTTTGATGATGAATAGTGATATGGAAGTATAAGCCAAATCGACACTTTCATTCCGAAGTTGCATTGAACAAGGTGCATCATCACAGCTGCAATAACCCTAACTAAGACACCCAACAAAGCACAACACACACACACACACACACACACACCCTTACAAAGAGCTAATGGGCTAACAGAGAGATTGTAAGCAAGTGTCTAAGATAAATGGTACTAACCCAGTGTAAAACTTGCAACAGTAGAATTTCTAACTTGACATCTTTGCAACAATATCAGTAACTAAGTGCTCTTCAAGCCAGATAGGGGCCACCAGGCTGGCTGTAAAGCAGAAGGCATAGTAGATACAACCCCACCGGTTTTCTGTTGCTAAAGTAACCACCTATCTTCACTCCATAGCCTCATGCTGTACAACAGTAACAGTGTGTTCTATTCCTAAGTCTGTACTTGGCTATTCATTTCTGTTTCTTTGAGCTGCTCTCTGTCAGCTTACTCATTTACCCCTAGATGGCTGGCAGTTTTTGTGAGGCCTTAGCTAGAGCAATGGCTGACTTTGCTCTGCTTTTTTTTTTTTTTAATCTTGCATGGGTGGTACTGGGCATGTTTGCACAGCAAAGGACCAGATGGGAGGGAAGACAGTAGAGGCCAAGACTTAGAACATGCACTCTTGAACGTCTGCTGCAGTCTATGGGGTCCAAGCAAGCAACATAATAATCACCCATTCAGGAGAAAAAGATCACATCCCTGCCAAGCAACATCATGCAGGTGAAGAATTGGGTGTCCCCTCCATACTGTCTATACCTCTTTGCCCTCTCACCTCTCAGCCCCTTGATGCTTCTGGGAATAGACCCTCTCTCTCCTTCCATTTGATCTGGTCAGGTGACCACTTATGGGGCTTTCTCTTCTCAGACCGTCCTCAGCTGCAGGTACATGACCCACACTGGGTCGAACAGACTGTTGGCCCCAGTTTGTGTTACACACTGGGAGAGACACATCACTCCTTTCCAGTGACTCTGCCACACAAGAGCACAGACTGAGGGTTCAAATCTAAGAGGACTTGAATCAAGGGAGACACATTACCCCTTTTGCCATTAGAAGTGAGCATGCTGCAAGATAGAGAGAGAGAGAGATCAGAGGGCATGTCAAACCTTGGGCCTAGCTGCTCCTGAAGCTAGGTCGGTCCCTCGGCTTCTGGTTATAGGGACAAGAAGTCTGTCCCTTCTCCACCCCCTGTATGTCTTTTGAGTTGTATATCCAACCCTAATTGGCTAGGGATTCAAGACAAAAGTCCGAGGTGAATGGAACTGAATTTGAAAAAGTAGAAGGCATAGATGGGTAAAGGAGGGGAAACGAGAGGAGACATCAGAAGAGAGAGCCGGGTCCCCTGTGTTTCCAGCATTCCTTTTCTTACAGAACCACTAGTCCAGGGCTGCCCCCACCCACGGTGGGTGGGACCCTCCCACATGAAAGAAAAAGCTTTCCGAATGCAAAGATAAGAATGCTGAAGCCTATAGCAGGGACTTCCCTACTTTGCTGTGACCATCTAACTGATGTTTCTACCAATGTGTTTGAAAAATGCTGTGTTTTGTGACTTTCTTTTGTTCTGTAATTGTCAGAAAATTTTGATACAGTCTCCACATTGCACATGTTATTTGGGGCAAACTGAGTCTATGTTTCTGGGCCATGGTTGCTTGTATTTGGTTCAAAAATGAGTTACCTCTTGTTTCCTTTGAGCTAAGGCCTATACTTAAAAAGATTAGTTAGTTTAAAATGTGTGTGTGTATCTGTGGTGTGTGTTTCTGACTGTGTGTGTATGTGTGTCTGTGTGTGTATCTCTGTGAGTGTGTGTTGTATGAGTGTGTGTGTGTGTGTGCTGGTGCGAGCCTCTGCAAATTTATGTGCATCATGTGAATGCAGTGCTTGCAGAGGTCAGGAGAGGGCATCAGCTTCCCTGGAGTTGGAGTTAAAGGTAGTTGTGAGCTGCTCAGTGCGGATGCTGGGAACCAAATTCAGGTCCTCTGCAAGAACAATACATTCTTAACAGCTGAGCCATCCCCCTTGCCTGAGAACAGTGTTTTTTGTTTTTGTTTTCTTTTCTTTTCTTTTTTATTACACTTCCTTGCAATATTTCCTTTTCTATCCCTTCTAACTTCTGTTTACTCTGTCCGGATATCACCTCTAGACTATCATGACCATACATATGCATGGTGCCTGTCGCGGTTCAAATGTGAAACACCCCCTTTAGATAGGCAGGGAGTGTTTGAATGCTTGGTCCCCAGTAAGTGGTGCTGTTTTGGAAGGTTATGCAAATTTCAGGAGGTAGAGACTTGCTGGAGGAAATGAGCCACTGGGGACTGGCCTGGAGGCTTTATTTCCTATTCTATTTCCTGTTCTTTTTTGTTTCTGGAGGTTGGATACAATGTAACCAGCCAGGCTTTTGCTACTATGCCTTCCCTGCTGTGATAGAATGTCTCCCTCTGGAACAGTAACCCCAAGTAAACCCTGTCTCCCTTAAGTAAAGTAACTAAGTAACTGAATTGCCTTCAGCATGCCAACCTTGCAGGCAGGCCACCTCTCTGCTTTGATGTTAATGAAACCCAGACAAATTGCTACTTAACCAATCCATGCCTTGGTGTTTGCAGCCCTAGGGTGAGTTAAAGTGTGTATCTGACTTCAGAGCCTAGTGTGAAGAAGATTACCAAAGTTGTGGACATTGAAGATAGCAGGGCACCCAGCTCCAGGGAGTGAGGATTAATCCAAGTTTTTGTGTTAGAAATTTTAAAGCACTGGAATTGAACAGAACTTAGTCCCTCACACAGGGTAGGCAAGTGCTCCCCTGGTAAACTATAGTTGGGATCTGTAAAATCCCTTTAAAACAAGAGGCTTAGTTTCTTCATCCAGCTTTATAACCCTACTGTCAAACAGGGCTTTCATTGGATTAGACATGTGCTTATGAAATACAATGTTAGGCATACACCTATGTTTTCTGCTCTCCTTTCTTTACGGTCTGAGTTTAACATTATTCTTCACCATTCATTCATGATTTATTCTCATGAATATGAACATGCTCATGGCAAACACATCCTCCCAAGATGCTTCTTCCAAGTGCTGGAGAATCTGCCCTGGAGGGACTGGATTTAAGAACCTGTGTCTTCAAGGTTTGGAAGTAAAGACAGGCTATATACACAAAGTAAGTGAG